ACGTTCTGTTTCTGAGAAGGGATGGAGGTCATTGCGCACACCAGAGACGGCGGGCATGAACAATGAGGCTCACATCGTCCAGGATAGCGGACAGAGCCTGAGGGCCTGCAGGGTGAGGACCCGCCCCTGCCACTGGGATGCACCTCCGGCCGGGAGTGGGAGGAGCCGGGAGTTGGGGCGTCCTCCCCGGGAGGGAGGGGGGAAGCCCCGTGAGTGGAGGCCGAGCCCCCAGGTCCCCCTCCCCGGGACGCCTGGGCCTCCTCCTGCCTCCGCGGAGCGTCTTCCCCCCCGGGGTCAGAGGCTCTTTCTGAATCTCCCGGGCTGGACGCTCGTGTCGGGGGCTGGGGTGCTCTGGAAGGTGTCGAGGGGCCCTGTGCTCAGTTCCGGGCCGCGTCTCGGGCTCCTCCACGGTCGTGCCGAGCCTGGCAGAGCAGGACCCCGAGGAGCAGCAGGACTGAGGCCGCGAAGCCCATCCGGATGAGATTCTGCACCGTGTAGTCTGGGGTGAGGGCGCACAGGTCAGCGCCGGCACAAGCACCTGCCTCTCGGGAGAGGACGCGGCCCCGAGCCCAGCCCCTGACGGGGACGCTGTCCCCGTCCTCACTCTGGGTCTGACCGCGGTGATGGGGGAGGGTGTCGGGGGCCCGAGGGTCCTGAAGGGAGGCTGTGGGTGGGCCGTGTCCTCCTCGGGGAGCCTCCCGGGGGCAGGATGGGGTGGGGGCGGGCCTGCTCCTCCCCAGACTGACCCCCATCCCGCAGCCTCAGGCCCCTCCAGCCTGTGGCTCCCGCGGCATCTCTGCCCGACTCCCCTCCGGCCCATGACGATCTGAGGGGCCTTGTGCCCCCAGACAATCTCAAAGCGCCCTGGGGTGGGCTGTCTCCCTTGAGCACTGAGCCCTGTGACTCCCCAGTTGTTGAATTGGGGCCCGAGGGTGGGGGCTGGGCCCATGGGTCCTGGGAATGAGCCCAGGAAGGGGTGGGCTGGGCTGACCCGGGGACCCCACCTCACTGCCCTCTGCCCTGCACGGGCCTGTGGCCTCCCCGAGACCGTCCCGGACCCCAGTGCGTGAGGAAGGGGTGGGGTGTGAGCTCCGAGGCCCCTCCCTCAGGGGACCCCTCCCTCAGCACCCCCTCCTCCAGGACCTCCGGGGCCTCCCAGGGCACAGAGCCCCGAGCTGCTGAGTCAGACGGACAGACGGGCCTCACCTGAGACCAGGAGCGCCAGGGGCTCGCTGGGCCGTGACAGCAGGTGGGGCTCTGTGCTGAGTGCGCGGTAGCACCTGTAGGTGCCCCCGTGGGCCGAGCTCACAGGACTCAAGGAGAACTCGGCCTGGAACCGCCCGCCTTGATCCTGGGCGCGCAGACGCAGGGGGTGATGGGCTGCTCCCTCCTGGGACAGAAGGAAGGTGTCCGTCCCGTCTCCTGACTGACACAGCAGGGTCACGTTCTCCCCCGGGGCCACCGAGGGGCCCGGCCGTGCTGAGAGGGAGGGTCTGTCTCTGAGCCATCCTGCAGAGAGGAAGGGGGTGCGGGCCCGGCCCTGGTTCTGAGCGGGACTCCGCTGCCTCTCTGGACCCTCAGCGCCGTCTGTTTCTCCGAGTCTCCCCCTCCCCCACCCCATCTCTCTGTCCCCTCCCTGGGACCCCTCCCCCTGGTCCCAGCATCACCCCTGGGGCTCCCCGGTGGGGCCTGTGCAGAGTCTGGCCCCCGACTGACCCGCTGGCCCCTCACCTGCCACCAGGAGCTCCAGGGGGTCACTGGGGGCCGACCACTCGGAGGAGAGGCCGTGTCCACCGTAGCATCTGTACCGGCCCCCATGGACGGTGCCCACCGGGCCCAGGGGGAAGTCGGCCTGAGAGAGCCCCCCCTGGGCCCTCCGGGCAGGTCGCTGGGGGAGGTCCTGTCCCCCCTCCTTGGACAGAGCGAATCTGGCGTAGTCCATGTCAGAGCGACACTGAAGGGTCAGGTTCTGTCCAGAGGTGACGACAGGGCCCTGCGGGGTCAGGAGGGACGGCTTCCCAGACAGCCCTGGGGAGAGACAGATGCCAGGTTGTTGGGACCGCGTCCCCCGTGGACACCCTTCCCGGCCCAGCCCCAGGCCTCGCCTTCTCTGTCTGTGTGTCTGTCCTGTGACCACCACGCTCTCTCTCCTCCTCACGGGGCTCCCCTGGGAGCAGAGACCCCAGGACGTTGTCTTGTCTGCACAAATGTGGGGTCAGGTCGGGACTTCCTCACCTGAGACCAGGAACTTCAGGGGGTCGCTGGGGGCTGACCACACCCAGGGGGTGTCCCTGTTAAGGCCGTAGCATCTGAACGTCCACCCGTGTCCGGGGCTCACGGGGCCCACGGGGAACAGGGCCTGGGTCTGCCCGTTCGGGCTCCGCTGTCCATCCAGAGTCTGAGAGGACTCATTTTCTCCTTCCTTGGTCAGAAGGAACCTGTTAAATCCCTGACGGGAGCCACACTGCAGGGTCACGTTCCCTCCCGAGGTCACCACAGGGCTCGGCAGGGCTGAGAGGCTGGGTTTGTTGTAAGGTCCTAGGAGAGAAGGAGGCAGCTGGATCCCTAGGACTCCCCTCCACCCCCCGCCCAGGGCTGGGCTGTGAGAGGGACACCCCCTGAGAGCAGACCCCCTCCCGAGGGCAGAGCCTGAGGCCCCCGAGAGTCTCTCACCTGTCACCACCAGCTCCAGGGGGTCACTGAGCTCTGACCAGCGAATTCCCCTGAGATAGTAGCACCAATAGCGCCCTGTGTGCTGCTCAGTCATCAGTGAGATGGAGAACTTGGCCTTGTCCCCGGGCTCCAGGGGTTTCTGTCTGTCCCAGGGGACTGAGCTTCCCTCTTTATCCAGATGGAACTCCTGGGCCTCTAGGGGCCCCTGACACCAGATGGTCACGGGGCTCCCCCAGGGGACCACAGAGCCCGGCTCAGCCCAGATGGTGGGTTTGGGGGGAGCCCCTGGAAGGAAATCAGAGGCGGGCTCACCAGGGGTCTGCCCCCAGGCCCTGGCTCTCAGCCCAGACCTCCCAGACTCCCCCTCTATGAGCCCTGAGCTGCCCTCCCCTCCTCAGGGCCTCGGGGTGACCCTTGTCCCCAAGAGAGGAGAGAGCTGGGCCCTGGGGACAGACTCACCAGCCTGCACCTGGGTCCTCAGGCCCACACTCAGCCCTGGAAGAGAGAGCCCTGTGAGAGGTCTGCCCTCAGCTCTGAGCAGCTCCTCTCGTCCCCGGGAGCCTCCTGGGCCCTGGGGTCCCCTGATGGAGCAGGCTGGCTGGGTGGGGGGTCCCTCCAGTCCAGGGCTCCCCCTGCCCCTCCTCATCTCACCGAGGCAGAGCAGGGCGGGGAGGGTGGGGGCCATGGCGTCTCCTCCCTGCGGTCCAGGCCGTGAGGATGGAGGAGACCTGGGTGTCCTCCAGAGAGACAGAGCACAGGGTGTGTCCTCTCCAAGGCTGGGGCTTCCTGTCACGTGGTTGTCATATCAGCCTCCCCGCAGGAAGGGGAACAGCCTCTTCTTGAAAGCCTGGTGTCGTCCCCATGACAGTCCCAGTGTGTTCCTGAGACGCCCCTTCCAGATGAGGACGGCCAGGCTCCTTCCCTCTGCAAGCCTCGCCTCGGGGTCTGCTTCCTCCTCTGCCCCTCCATCAGCAGGTCCCTGGGGTTCCTCACTGTGGCCGGGTCACCAGGCCCTGGAGATGCTTCGGGGAGGATGCCGGCTCCTGCTGCCCTTGGGGCTGAGATCCCCAGAGACACATCGTTTTTTAATTGGAGGATGGTTCCTTCACAGTATGGTGCTCGTTCTGCCACACATCAACATGGATGGGCCATATGTGTCGCGTGGCCCTCCCTCTTGAACCCCCCCTAGGCTGTCACAGAAGCCTGTGTGGGCTCCTGAGTCACACGGCACGTCCCCCGGCGGTGTGTTTCACACGTGCTCTGTGTGTGTTTCCATGCTACTCTATTCCTCACACCCTCTCCTTCCCCGGTGTGTCCACAAGTCTGTCCTTTATGAGGGACGCACGTTCAGCGTCTCCCTGGGGCTCAGTTGAGTCCGCGTGGCCGAGAGCCCAGAGGAGATGCGCAGGGAATCAGGATGGAAACTGACTCCTCCCCTGCCCTGGAGTGGGGAGCCCCCCATCACAGCCCCCTTCAGGGGCGTCTCTCTTTACCCCATCACTGTCCAGCCCGCCTTGCTGGGAACAAGCCCCCGGGGGCTTCCTGCCTCCTCGGGGCCCCGGGGTCCTTGGGCACAGGCTCCTCCGGTCTTGCCATCACCTGCAGGCTTTCGGGGGTGTTGATTGGGGTCAGAGCTCTCACTCTGGTGGGAACAGATGTTCCTATAAACGTGTGCCCGCTGCTCATGGGACCTTGAGCGACGGTGCCCTTTCTCTGCGCCTGAGCTTCCTCCTCTGCATGTTATCCGAACCCCAGCCCTCAGAGGGGCTGTGGGCTCTTGCTGCCGTCATCACGGTTAATTTCCAGACGAGGTGACAGGAGAGGGTGGACGTGATGGGCTCCTGGCTCAGACTGCACCCAAGGGGGCGAGTGTGGTGCCCACCCAGAGCCTCCTCTGCTCCTGACGCTGAGACCTGCTCCGGAGAGTGTTTCTGCAACACGAAACCACAGACAAGTGCAGAAGAGAAGTTCCCCAAATGGAGAGGGAACCACAGCGAAGCGGGGAGAGGTAGGCGGTGTGGCCCCGGCAGCGGGGATCATCTCGGGGTCAGAGGGAGGTCCACCCGTGTGGACACAGAGAGGGACCCATCCTCACAGAAACATAAAGGGAGGCAAGCATGTGGATTATTTCGTAGAAGAACAGGCAGTTACTGAAAAGAGTCGAACAGTTTTGACGTGAACAATCCAGTAGATTCAACATTTTAAAAAAAGTCAGGCAGTCAAGCAGACAGCTGAGCGGCCACATGTGAAGTCGGAGTATAGCACTGAGGGAATGTTCCGGAATGCAGCAGAGAGCGCAGAAAGGCAATTCAGTAGAGGCGGGACTGTGCTGAGGGCCAGTGTGGTGTCTGTCTTAAGTGTCAGAAGCGAAGAAGCTCACGACAGACAGCAGTGGCTGAAGAAATGAATAGCGGAGCCTCCTTTCCTGAGGAGAACCGACCTGGGGAGGGCTGGGGCACATGGATGTACACGTGACACCCGAGGGCGGCCCTGCTGGGCCCGTGACTGAGACTCGGCGCTCCTTACTGAGGGTTAGGGTTCGATCAGGGCTCAGGGATCCAGACGCGGCACACTTTGGCCAAAGACCCCGCACCCTGCAACCGAGAGCCTGTGTGCCGCAGCTGTCAACAGGTGGGCTATTCAAAAGTAACATCTGTATCTTGACCTTTCATATAGATAAAATGAAGGTCAAATTTAAAAAGTATTTCCTACTGAAATGTACAATTTGAAACAGTTTATTCTAACTAAATTTCAGCTGAAAAAAAAAAAATGAAGGCGGATCGGACTGAGACCCTGAAAAGGCGTTCTTGCAAGGGGCGGAAGCCAGAGCTTCATGCAGAACACATCGCCAGCTTCCAGGAGGTTCTGTACCGCCTCCCGCTGTGGGCCGTGCCTCAGCCTCACAGCCGCCAGGTCCTGAGAGAGGAGGGCCCTGGGGGCCTGGATCCCTTAACCTTGACAAGTGTTTTCCTCTCCTTGTACTTGAGTCACCTGCTTGATTCAAAATAGGAAGTGTTCTCAAGTAACTTGATCAAAAGAGAATGAGTGTGAAAGAAGGCATTTCCAGAGGTGCACGTCCTTAGATGCTGACAGTTTTCACACGGGAAGCAATACTCAGAGATGGCAGAGAGACAGTGAGGTGCAACAGAGAGGAACGCGTGGCCGAGATGAGCTTTGGAAAGTTACACAGACACACTTGCACGCACAAACACACCCACACGTGTGCACAGAGACGTGCGCACGCCCACACACGTGTATAAGAGTATCCAGGGTTCTTCAACTGATCGATGTGGTGTGGTGGTGCTCTCCCGGGCCGGGCCTAAGCCGTGCCGGACGAGGGACGGGCGTTCCCAGTGAACGGGTCCGCTCTTCTCGGTCTGTCCGCGGGGCCCCTCGCCTGTCTTTCCCCCTTGCCCCTTGGGGGGTGTTGGGGTGGGGCCTCCGGCCCTGACCTTCGGTCTCCCGTCCCCCGCCTTGGGGTGTCTGGTGGGGCCGTTGGTCTTCGGACACAGCAGATGCGCCTGCTCGCCTTCCTGGCGTGTTGCCCCGCGAGCGGCCCTCCCCGTGGTGGGGAGGGCTGTGCCGCTGCCACGCCACACGCCCCCGCACGGGTGTGTGAGCGTGCCTCGATGGACCCTGGGCGGTGGCCCTGGCGTGCTCCAGGGCGTCCCTCAGGTGCTCGAGGCCGAGCGGTGGTGCCGTTTTCCCTTAACCCCGTGTCCTCCTCGGGTCCCCGCCACGGCGCTGTGCGTGTGTCCCATGAGCGGCTCTCTCTGGGTGGGAGCGGGTCGAGGCGGTGAGAGCATTGTGTGCTCCCCTCGTCGCGGAGGCTGCCCGATGAGGCCTTGCAGGGGGCGGGCGCGGGCTCTGCCCCGGCCCTGGCCGCGCACGCGCTCCTGTGCGTGGTCGTCCGCTTACCGGTACCGCAGACCCCTCCCGCCCAGTTGAGGACTGGCGGCTCCCGGTGTGCCTCCGTGTTGCCCGAAGGAGAGACGGCGCGCCCTCGGTGAGAAAGCCTTCTCTAGCGATCCGAGAGGGAGCCCCAGCCGCTGCCCCTCCCGAGCGCGCAGTGGCCACCGCGGCGACTGCCAGAGCACGTGGGCAGAAAGCTCCCCTCCCCTCCGTGGGAAGCGGGCTGATGGGTGCGCCGGCCCCGCGGTGGGGCCGTGTGCCGCTTGTTGCCTACTGCGGCCTGCGCCTCCCCCCTCCGAGTTGGGGGAGGGTCCCGCTGGGCCCCGCCGGGTGTCTGGCGAGTGGGGGGGCCGTGCGTGTGTGCTGTGTGCGCCAGGCCGCCCCGTGGTGTGAGCCCAGGGGGAAGGGGGTGGTCGCGGCGCGACGCCTGGTGGGCCCCGGCTCCCCCAGCCCCGCAGCCTTGGTGAGGGGGAGGAGCCTGTCGCGCCCGCCCTCGCCCCGGAGCCGCAGCCGGTGGCGGTGTTGTGGGCCCGGTCTGGGCCGCCTCGCTGGAGAGCGTGTCCCCAGGGTGTTGAGCCTCGGGGTCAGACTTGGATGGAAGATTGATCTGTCGTGGATGGATGGATGGATGGACGGATGGAGGAAGGTGGCTGGACGGCAAGCCGGCCCTGGCGGCGGGGCCGGGTTGTGGGGCCCGCTCCAGGGATGGCCGGGAACGGCCGGCGTCCCAGGCGTCGCAGGACCGCCCTCGTGTGTGGGTGGCGGTGGGATCCCGCGCTGGTTTTCCTGGTGGCCCGCTGTGTCCCGGTGTTTTCTGGTCCCCGGGCCGGCGCCCTCGCCCCCGTCCCGCGGCCCCTGCTGCGTCCACCGCTGCCGGCCTTCCTCCTCGTCCCGTGCGTGCGACCCCCTTGTCCCCTCCCACCCCCGTCCCCCGCGGTCTGGGACCGAGCTGGCCTCGCCTCACGTGGGTGTCGTCTCCCGGCCTCTGTCGGCCGGTGGCGGCCCCGGGTGGCGCAGTGCCCCCGGAGCCCTGAGGGGGAGTGGGGCGGGCGGGGGGAAGCCTTCGGCGCACAGCAGGGTTGCGCGTGTGAGGGCTGTGGGGGCCGCCGGTACGCGGCGCGAGAGCGTTCTCCCGGGCCGGCTGCGGCTCTGGGTGTAGGTGGCGGTGGGCGTGAGGCCCCGTGAGGGGTGCGCCCCCCTCCCCCGCGCGGGGGTGGGGTGTGTGGGCGGAGAGGCCAGTCTGTCGTTCTGGGTGTGCCGCGGGACCGGCCCTGTGCTGGGAGGCCTCTGGCGGTGAGATCCCGCGCTGCGCCCTAGCGGCCGACTCGCTTCCCCCGGGTCGTTTCGAGCCCATCCCCCTCGCGGTGGCGCGC